TTCACTAGAAGGCCTAGCCAAATAAATATGAATAGAGTATTCAAGGCTTACTGCTGACTCCCATTGTGACTGGCCTCTATTCAGACTGTGGTCCATGTAGGAGTAGATGTGAATGCCTTGTCTTCTCAGGTGCTATCACACCAAGGCATTTTGTGAAGTCCCTTGTTGCTGTGGAGAGCCTGCACAGAAGTACCTTGTACTGGTCATGATTTGATCCCACTATGAATGTGGGGTCTAGGTGGACAGATAGGTGGAAGTAGATATTTTGCAAGTTGAAAACCACAAACCAGCCTTGAGTCCGTAGAGATGGAGGCAAGTGTTATCATCCTGAATCTGAGGCAGCAAATAAATTTGTTCAGTCTCCTTCCATCTAGGATAGGATAAAGACTCTCCTTCTTCAGGTTAATGAAGTACAGCAAAAAGCCTTTTCCCCTGTATGCTTGTGAAACCTCTTCTACAGCTCCTCAACAAAGCATCAAAGCCATTTCTTTTTGTAACAGGCGCTCAGGAGAAGAGTCCCTACAGAGGAACAGGGATGCGAGAGTTGGGTCTGGATGGAATAACCATGGGCGACTATTTCCAACCACCATTGTCCAAGCCCAATGGAACGGGGCAGGTAAGTTCCCACAAGTAGTTGCTGACCACTGATCAGCTCTGATGTAGCTCCTGCCATCCCATCAAATCTGCTGTTTGGTTGATGGGGTGGTGTGTGTATGATATGGAAGACTGGTGACAGGCATCTTCTGTGGGTACTGTGACTGTTCCCACTGGGGTAAATCTGGTTATCTATGCTGGGTCCAGGTGAGCCCATGGCCTCTGCTGGAACAAATACTTGCAGGGATTCTTGTAGGTGATTAGTGTATATACTCCCAGAGATCTGAGGCAGGCCCTCGAGTCTTTTAAGGAATTGAAGACTTAGCCAATCATTGTGTGGAAGAGCTCCATTCCCTCAAATGGGAGGTACTGGATAGCATCTTGGACCTCTCAGTATCCCAGAGGTTGACAGCCAGTGAGTTCATCTTATAGTCGTGGCTTTGGTCACGAACCTCGTGGCTGTCTCAGAGCATCCATGGCTACATGCAGGCCTGTTCTGGTAATTGTTTGGCCTTCTTTAATAGTCTCCTATAGCACTTCCCTAATGTCTTGTAGCAGTCTGGCTAGAAAGGAAGTTCCCACATCAGGAAATTATACTTGGCAAGTAATGCCTGAGTTTGCCAGCCAGAGTTGAAGCAAGACTGACAAGTAAGCTTTGAGCACTTCCCGGGGTACCCAGGGTTGTGAGCACTCGCTACCACTTGCCCTCAGCGCGAGGAAACCTTGTCTGTCATACTGGGGGGGAGGGGGGTCATTCTCCCAACTCCACAGCCTCAATCAACAGATGCTTGATTTCCATACCCCACTCTCCCTTTACAGGTTAAAGATAAGTACACTCCAACCCTCAAGTCCTCAGCCTCTATCTGGACTGCCCAGCCCCTATTCCACTGGACACGGACAGAATTTGCATTTCCGCTATTCCCAAAGGAACAGTATGCATTAGCTTAGCAGTTATGCCTCACAGTCATGGCTCCCCTCAACTCTCAGCACTTGGATTTGTTTAGAGAAAACAAGTAAAACGAAGCAGCAGATAGAAATAATGGAAACAAATGGTCCCACAAAATCTTAAAACTTTCTAGAGTCTAAACTTAAGATATTGTCATGTCATATAGAGAGCAAAAGCTCACCCAAAATCTTCCAGCTTATTACAGGCAGGCTTGGCGGTACTCCTCCATTCATGAGAAGTCACAGTCCCTCTCACTTTTTCAGTGGAAAGATGCAGAGTGTCTTACAGTAAGAATCCAAAAATCCATTATCTTCATTTGCAAACAGGATAACCCTCACTGCTTAGAATCTTCCCTGGAAAAAACTTTGCAATCACTTGATTAGCATTTTCCTCAAACTGTAAATGGGGACCCATTGTGAACCAAACAATTTACATATGCAACTTTTGGCTGAAAGAAGCCGGTCTCATCTTTTGGTGACAAGCCCTAAGCCACAAACCTTAAGAAGTTAGTTTTCTGTACATATACATAACTCCTTACATATTAGCCGTACTTACATTTTGCAATGATTATGGAGGATCAATGTGACACAGGCTTTCAGAAGAGACCTCACATGACACATTTTGGCAAACTAGTACATAGATTCCAGACCCAGGGGATCTCTAACCCCCAAGAAATCTCTAGATCACAGCACCCGACAAGGTCTAACTTCTGAGGGCCATTTTCATCATTTTGACTTTTCCTGCATTGCTGCTAAAGATCTCTGGTTTAGGTGGGAGTAAAAGTAGTCAAAAATTTTCAGGGGCACTTGAGAGGGCTTCTCCACTAGTTTGGATATGGACTGAACAGTGGCTCGGGGTTGCTAGAGCCCTTCGGCCAGTTCTAATATGCCCTCATTGACAGGAAGAGAGAGATCCTTCTGGGGGTAATGTGCTCAGGCTGTCAGTTTATAGGATCTCTCCTGGATAAGCATCATTCCTATATCAAAGACTTGGCTATGTAAGTTAGGAGATCATGAAAGGCATTATAATTGTCTCCTGCCCAGACATGGGCTAGTTAAATTGTCTCACTGGATAATGACCAGTCTATGGGCAGAAACTGGGGGTGCCGCTAATTGCAGTTCCAGGGTGCAGCTGTCAAGCTCTGTGTCAGTTGTCTAAGTAGTAATTCCACCACAGAGCTGGATCTCTTCCTCCTTCTAGACCCATAAGATCTGCTATGGGACGCTAGGGATGATGTTTCCCAGTTGGGCCAGTACAGCCAACGTGCCATTATGAATGGGTATTGGCTGGTCAGTGTTGCAGCTAGTCAGCCCATTGCTTTTCATGCATCTATTGAGATAGTGCCTTGTGAGAGGATCTTTGATGCTGGTTCTAAGGTCACTCTCATAGAGGGGAGGGAGGGAGAGAGAGAGAGAGGTGTCCCTGTTTGACACTAGGGAGAAGGTGAAATCTAGGGATTAATAAGAAGTTGCACTCTTTGAATGGCAGAGCTGTGGGGTAGTACTCAGGGCCTGAATCACATGGGTCCAGTGCTGAAAATATCCCTGGATAGGTCATCACAGAACAGCCTAAATACCTTGGGCCTGTAATTGGTGCAATGGTCAGCACTGGAGTCTTTGCTGGTTCCAGTATTGGTACTGGTTTTCTAAGTGTCACTTATGTTGACAGAGAACTTAAAACTGTCTCTGGAGGAGTAGTCTCTTTTCCTCCTTTCAGGAAGAAGTCTTCTGGTATTTGGAGCTCTGCCCAGACACTGGTTGGGCCCTTTTGGTCCTCACCCTTGTATTGGGATGCCAAAGTTCATTCTGATGATGATGTCAATGTTGTGGGAACCAGTGCCAAGTCAGTCAACCCAGTTGCCTGTGAAGTTATTGGTGCCAATCTTGATGGCATTTTCTTTCCTGCTTTCCTGTTGCTGCTCGGGTGTGGTTTCTACCCAAGGGAACACTTGCTGAAGAAAACGCTTTTAATTCTTTGGAGGCAGTAGTACCTCTCAATTGAGTAGGTGTAGTTTCAGCCACGTCCCTTGACGTACACGTCTTTAATAAGATCTGCATACTGGCACACTTATTGGGAATATGATTTGCTCTAAACAGAATAGGCATCTACTACGCCTCTCAACCCGGGGATATGTCCAACACAGGTTGGGATTTGCCAGAGTGGTAGATGCAGGGTGCAAAAGCCCTGCTCAGGGAGATGTACTCAGGATCTTTTCTATTTTTGGAACATCCTACTTAAAAAACCTAAAAATGAGGATGGTCATTTTTTCACTGAAAAGTTCAAAAAAGGAATATGTTTGAAGCTCCAGAGAAGCTTGTCCTGACAAGCACTCACTGGGTTCTGTCTCATTGCCATGGGCAATAAGGGAACTGAGGGAGGGTCACGGCTGCTTCATCTCCTTTCATGCGAGCATGAGATGACACAGTATATGCATGGCCCTGACAGACACTATTAAACAAAACCCAAGCTTGTGTGCAACAGGCATGTGCTTCTACAGCAGAATCCACCCTGACACTCACTTGAAGATGTTGTTTGAGCCAATGAAGGTTTGTGAATATACAGAATAGACCTACCAACCTTTCCAAAGGTCAGAAACATAAATACAACATACTCAAACTATTTTTTTTGTCTATACAAATTCATCTTTTTTAAAGGATCATGAGTTTCACACATTGTTTTCTGCTTTGGCAGTTTGTCCAACACACAAACATCTGTTAATGAATGCTGACATCAAACTCTTGTGATCATGGGACAATATAAAATAGCCCATTGTCAGTTTCACAAAAATGAAGCCCAGATATAAGCATAAAGAACATAATACCATGACCACCACCACAAAAGACAGCATATCAAACTTTTCCAGCTGTTAAACTGCTAATTATATGTCAGTAATAAGAGCGGAGCTTTCATAACTGAATATGCTACATAGCTTTTACTACATATACAGTATATTAAATGCTTCAGTAATCATCTTTCATGAAAGAATCTACATTAAAAAATAGAGATCAGAATAAAGCTGAAGATAACCATGTGGAATTGCACTCAAGATTCCAATTCTCCACTGCCTAGAAGTGTAATGAGACAGCTGTGCAAATTGGGTACTAAACATTACGGGCAAAATGGCTTAAACTCATAGCCCAGGGAGAAGTGGGGCTAAGGTGGCTTTAATCTATCTTTGTGTCCTTCCAGTTCTGAGCTGCTATGTCCCCCAGCATAAAACTCAGACTGAACAAAGACTGCTGCCCAAGTTATGACAGTTTGTCATCAACTGCCTATGGCCAGCAACACTGCCCAGGATCTTTGCCGGCAAACATACCATATCCCTGCTTTTGTGAAGGGGGCCTCTGAAAAACAGCCTGCAGATGATCTTCCTCAGAAATCAGTGTCTCCTTTTAGAGTCAGTAGCCAGATAGTTATTTAGTAGATTGAAGTTTTTCAGAACAAAATAAAGAACAGCAAATTGTGTAATATTATTTACTGTTAGTTAACACATCTGAACCAAATCAGTCACAATATTTGATAATACATTTAATTACACAGTAGTCTTGGACAATCACAAAAACAAGCAGAACAAACTACATAAGGCCTTAAAATTAGAAGCACAGTGTGTATTTTGTTGGAATATTACTATGTTTACAAATTAGGCTACATATAATTAAGTTTCTCATTATTTTTCATAGTTTTTATTCAAGCAAAACTCATTCAAGGGAAAGGCAACTTACAAAATTTATTTCACTATGAGTTAATACAAAAAAGTGTCAACATTCTCTTTCTTCACTGTTCAGGAGCAGATTAGTAAAATTCTCATACAGTAATAAAAACAATAGGTTGCACACTAATAAAACACCCAAAAGTAAACCTGAACTGACAACTGCAAGCTTGCATTTGTTCATTACAAAGTTAGACAAACTTCCAGGATTTTTTCTATCCATATACTGCATCTCTATAGAATTGACATTTAAAACTAGCTCCTAGCTCTAAATACCTTACTGGTTTCAAATAAACCACTAAAATATTTAGTTACACCTCAGTAGTGAGCATATGAATGAAATTTGTTATAACAGTGGTATTTTAGGACTTCATTTTACAGAATAACCTGTTTAGCTAAAGAATAGATGAGTAGGCAGATTTAAACCTCATCTTCCAAGTTACAAAACAAAAACAACAAATTAACCACCAGACATAAGATATAATGCACAGTAGACAAAAAAAAAAAAAAAAAAAAAAAGAACTTGTTTTGACCCGCTCCCTATAAAACAGGGCCTGGGCCAATTCCAGTGAGTGTCTATGTTTTCATTACATATTTGCTTAAATCTCATGGCTATTGGTATTTTTACAAGTACAGCTGTTTAGAAGTCTGATTTTTAGTGTACACCTGTGCAACAGAATAAGTCACAGTACATTTTGAGATGTTTAAAAAATATTTATAAATTTGTTTCTGATATGCTAAAGCATTTGGCAACACTTTTACAGCATCTGATTTTACATAATTAAAATTTCATACAGTACTCCTTGTGATATTTTGTACATCTAAAAAGAAAACTCACACATAGTATATGAACTACAGAAGCTGAACTGCATGATCATGTTATTCCAGTTCATAATACTGGTATTAAAACCTTCATTAATTATGTTCACAAATCATTACCTGTACATTTATGAAGGCAACTGACATGATTTGAAAACAAAACCTTCAGGTTTTATGTTAGTATTTATCAAAGTGTGCAGTTCTGCAGTGAAATGAAAAAGCATGTAAATATATAAAGTACTTTACAAATTCACCAGTTCCTGTGATACAAACTGTTTTAATCGTTCAAGGTACTGTCCATAAAGCTCCACATCATTATGGCCTGCTCCTTCTACCCACAGTGGCTCTACAGGTCTCTGGCAACGCTCAAATAATGCTAAGCCATGCGAAAAGTCAATTACTTCATCTTCAGTCCCATGGATTATTAACACTGGCGATGTTATTTTAGAAATTTTGTCAATGCTGCAAGAAAAGAGATACAAACATGAACACAGAACAGTCAACTTTACACACGTAACCTTCAAGAATAAGAGACTCTTAGGCTATGTCTACACTTAAACAGGTACAGCAGAGCTGTAGCGCTTCAGTGTAACCTCCTGCTATAGCAAGGGGAAGAGTTCTCCCATTGCTGTAGTTAATCCACCACCAAGCAGTAGCTAGGTTGATACAAGAATTATTCCATTGACCTAGTGCTGTCTACATCAAGGGTTAGGTCAGCTTAACTATGTTGCTCAGGGGTGTGGATTTTTCACAACTCTGAATGACATAGCTGGGCCAACTTAACTTGTTAGTTTAGACCTGTCCTTAGGCTATGGCTGCGCTATGAACTAGAGGTACGATTCCTTTGCTTATGTACACATGCTCATTCTAATTCTCATCAAGCTAGCACAAGTATAAATAGCAGCGTAGCTACAGTAGCAAGGGCACAGTTTTTCCCAGTCCTTGCTGGTCTGAGCAACAGACTCAAAAAGACACTTTATTCAGAGCCATCAATACACCGGCCAGGACCACCCACTAGTTATATTTGGGACAGTTATATTTATCCCCTTACCTTTTAACCCAAAAGACACCTATAAAACTGATTAGCAATATAAAACATTCACAAATGTGTGAATCAAGCATTATAAAAACATTTTTAATTTTATAAATTACTGTTAATCTTTTTTCATTTATTCGGTCTTGATTCACTCTTTGTACATAAGAATGGCCATACTGAGTCAGACCAAAGGTCCATCTAACCCAGTGTCCTGTCTTCCAACAGTGGCCAATGCCAAGTGCCCCAGAGGGAATGAAGAGCACAGGTAATCATCAAGTGATCCATTTCCTGTTGCTCATTCCCAGCTTCTGGCAAACAAATTATGTAATGAGAGGATATTAGCATTTTTTAATATTACCTTAAAGGACAACTGCAAAGAATTTGCAAGATTACTTTCTTCCCTATTCGGAGAATGTTAGTGTGACGTCGCACTCTATAGGATTTTATAAATATATGCTGAGTGAATATAATGTAATTGGAATATGCTTCATGCAAAAGGTCTCTTGTAAGGTATCATTAACAAAGTTTATAATCTACTGAATGTGATCATCCTATTTGTATAAATGTACCACTCTTGTATCTGAAACTAGAAATATGAAATATAACTCTGAGGGCCTATTGTAATTATGCAAAGTGTGGGCCATTAATGGTGGTTTGGAATCTTGATGGTTCCCATCAACCAGGACAACTGACCGTGGATGGCTCTGTTTGCAGGGAAGCCTTCCTGCGAGTCAGGCTAGGAGGATTGAAGTCTTACAGTGACATGATCATGTCACCTGAACTGGAATCCATCTTTAACCTGGTGTCTTTCCATTGAGAAGGAGGGGGTGGGAACCCAGAGAGGGACAAAGGATTCCCACCCTATGCAAAAAGATATACAAATGGGTGGAACAGAACAAAGGGAGAGCCATCAAGAAGAATCACCTAGCTATTACCTGAGCTAGAACAAGAGCTGTACCAGGGGAAAGAATTGTGCCCAGGCCTGGAAGATGTCCAGTCTGAGGAAAAAACTTACTGAAGCATCTTTAAGGGCAAGATTATCTGTATTCAGTTTGATTAGACATTGATTTGCGTGTTTTATTTTATTTTGCTTGGTAACTTACTTTGTCTGTCACTACTTGGAACCACGTAAGTCCTACTTTTTGTATTTAATAAAAATCACTTTTTACTTATTAATTGACCCAGAGTATGTATTCATACCTGGGGGAGCAAACAGCTGTGCATACCTCTCTATCAGTATTATAGAGGGCTAACAACTCATGAGTTTATCCCGTATAAGCGTATACAGGTTAAAATGGATTTATTTGGGTTTAGACCCCACTGGGAGTTGGGCATCTGAGTGTTAAAGACAAAAACACTTCCGTTAGCTGCTTTCAGTTAAGTCTGCAGTTTTGGGGCAAGTAATTCAGACCCTGGGTCTTTGTTGGAGCAGATGGGAGTGTCTGGCTCAGCAAGACAGGGTGCTCGGGTCCCGAGCTGGAAGGGAAAGCAGGAGCAATGGTAGTCTTGGCTCATCAGTTGGCAGCTCCCAAGGGTGGGGGTTCTGTGATCTAACCCGTCACAGTAAGTAGCAACTTACTTTGGGAATGCATCAAAGCAGTAGGTCTTCTTCGTATCAGGAAAGGCTACTCGCATTCCCGAGGTCAAAGGAGAATGAAGAATTACAGCAGCACTCTCATACCGAGCAGCAAGATCCACAGAGGGTACCGTTCCTATACTTTGGCCATATATAATCACATTTTCAGGGCGGATTCCGTACCTACAAAATTAAGAGAGTGTTAAAAACTGGTATACACTAAAATAAATTGAATCGGTTTTGTTATACGAATTAGGCAGAAAAATGATATTTGTGGATCAAAATTTACGAAGTAGGATGAACAAAAGTGACTAGTAAGAGAACCAGATATTGTAGTTGTAATATTGCTTTCCCGTACTTCAATCTTCCACTTTTGTCTGACTTAAAATTTTGACAGTAAAGCTTTTCTACTACCAGTTTTGTATTTGGCAAATATTTGTCTTCTGTCTGGAAAGATACTGAAATATGGGTTTTTGTGTTTTTTGTTTAAACGATACATGTATGCAATAGCACCATGGATAAAGTCAGGAGAACTCTGGAATCAAGTCCACTAGTTATCCTGCTACAGAAAACAGAAGTGTTTGTTGTATTCCAAGATGACAAGGTATTTTTAAATCAAGGCAGCTTTCTACATCAGAGTTAACTAAGTTACGGACAGGCCAAATTTGGGACTAATTTTTTTTTTTTTTTTTTTAAACAAAGAACTTAAATATGTTTAACAATAAAGCCCAGTGACAACAAAAAAGGCTCATGCTGCTGTCACAGTCCATTTTCTTCCCCATTATACTTAAGTTATGGATAGGCCCCTACCAAATTCACGGTCCATTTTGGTCAATTTCATGGCCATGGGATTTAAAAAATAAATTTCATGATTTCAGCAATTTATGGTGTTGTAACTGTAGGGGTCCTGACCCAAAAAGGAGGGGTGTGTGTGTCCTCAAAGTTATTATAGAGGGGGTTCTGGTACTGCTAGCTACCCTTACTTCTGTGCTGCTGCTGGCGCTGCCATCAGAGCTGGGCAGCTAGACAGTGGCAACTGCTGGCTGGCATCCCAGCTTTGAAAGCAGAGCCGCCACCAGCAGTAGCGCAGACGTACGAGTGGCATGGTATGGTATTGCCTCCCTTACTTTTGTACTGCTGCTGGTGGGGCACTGCCTTCAGGGCTGGGCAGCCGAAGAAGGCAGTGAAGAAGTAAGGATGGCAATACTGTGACACCCCCCAAATAACCTTGCAACTCCCTTTTGAGTCAGGACCCCCAATTTGAGAAACACTGGTCTCCCCTGTGAAATCTGTATAGTATAGGGTAAAAGCACACAAAAGACCAGATTTAACAGGAAGAGACCAATTTCATGGGCCGTGACACGTTTTTTATGGCTTTGAATTTGGTAGGGCCCTAGTTATGGATAATGTCATCTTTTATTGGTGTAAACTTTATAGACACCTGATACGGACTTCAAAAATTTAGTAAATAATCTACTTGTTAAATGGTTGTATAGTCCTTTCCCACCCCTTTTATAAAATACCAAGGTAGAAGTTTCATTAAACGCTATTCCATTTGCCACAAACTTGTGTAATAAACACTGTACAAAAGAGCTGTTAATACTTGATATGTAGCAAACATGGGACGCTAAAGAAGACTGTCAGTTACAACATTACTCAGCCACTCTTAATTTTTAAAAATTTACTTACAAGTAAAATGAAGCATCACCTTGGTTAAACCACAAACCCAACTCTCAAATAAAATTCTCCTATATAGAGGCAATGTCAAATTTCAGCTCATCCAAATTAGTACCACAAAATTTTAAACTCGAGGAAAAAAAGGGCTTGTTAATTAGGACTTGAAAATTTTTTTTTACCAGATACCAACCAGCCAAAAAACAGTGAAAAATTATTCACGTTCCCTCAGGTCAGATCAAGAAACAAAGCCCTGGAGAGGTGCCCAGGACCCTCCCTGTTCGAAAAGAGGTTGGTGCTACAATTGCAAAATGGGTGCTGTTTCTGGATCCTGCTCAGTCCTATCTTCCATATTGGCTTTCCAGTCTCTCACCCGGACCATCATCAACCTCGGTCACTCCCGCTGGAAGAGAGAAAGCATTCTCTCTGCTATCCAAGAGCTTCTTCACTCAGTTTAGAATACAACCCATTTTATGGAATGACATGTTCAACTCTGGGTCACCCGGTCTCAAAAATATGTAGCAGAAATAGAAATGGTTCAGAGCCAGATGATGAAACAGTGGAATGGAAAACATTTCACATGGAGAGATGGCAAATACTGGAACTGTTCAGTTTAGAGAACAAATAATGGAGGGATATGATAGCTATATAAATAATGAATGGTACAGAGAAAGTGGACTTGGTACTCCTATTTAGCTGTTCTCATAATGCAACAATAATGAGACATTCAATGAAACTGACAGGCAACAAATTTAAAACTGATGCCAGGAAGTATTTTTGCAAACCACACTATTAGTCTGTTAATTCATCCTCATCAGATTCCACTGAGGCCAAGAGCTTAGCAAGATTAAAAAAAACACTGCAAGTTTATATGAATAGTAAGAACATCCAGCTATGTTAGATCGGATTTTAGAAAAACCTTAACATTTGGAAGGCATATAAAACCTTCATGCTTCATTCAAGGAATAAGCTAACCATTAACTGACTTCCTGTATGGACTGGTTACTCCATAATTGTTCAATTTGGGGTTTCTTGCATCTCTCTCTTTGAGAGATTAGGTAACTGGTCAGAGGCCGGATACGGTAACAGATTAACTACTGATCTAGAGAAGGAAGAGCTTGGATGCTTATTAAGGGGTTCCATCCTTCATACTGTCTCTGGTGTACACACACTCACAAAAATAAAGCCCCCCTCACTGAACCCTATTTAGCTGCTCTAAAGTAGAAGATCCTCCCTTTCTGTTCCTCCCATGCATCCCAGAGCCTCCTAGCCACTGTGATGAGAGTCCGTGTCTCAGCTACTCTATTTCGTGGTGGCTGTGAGCTGGTATCTCCATTTTAAGTTCTGTTCCCCAGTAAACTGCTTTAGTGTCTGCCTCTGCTGCAGCTCAGTTTTCCCTATGCAGAGTGGGGAAATTTTTGAGAGTTTCACTTCTGCATAACAAAACTGGCAAGACTAATTAGTTTTCACTCTGCTGCAGCTTTGCAAAGCTGTGAGCAGCAGCAGCAGGGGCACTGGAGCTTAGGAAGAAAGCACAGCATTTGTTTATGCTAGTTGCTACTAGCATACTCAACGGAGTGACAACCAGCTACTCTTGTTATATAGGGATGCGATAAATTATTCCTGTCGCCATCTTCTAGGAGCAAGAAGATGCCCATTTGTCTGTGATGACCAAAATCAGTGTGAGCTGGGCTCTGCTCATCCATAGATTTTTAAGCCCAGAAGTGACCATTATGATAATCTAATCTGTCAAACTGCATAATACACTATACAATTTCGTGCAATAGTTCATTTGACCAGAAATAAAGGCTTGATTAAACTGGAGATTATCTTTTATAGGAAGACATCTATTTTGATTCAAAGACTTGAAGTGATTGAGAATCTACTTTTGGTAAGTATAACACCCATTTTTCAAATGGGGAACAAGGGAAAAAGATTCAATGACCTGTCCAAAGCCACACAGGCAGACTGAAACAGAGCCAGAAACCAGATTTCTGCTGCCCAAACCAGAAGGCGTCCGGTGCAACAACCTTCTTCTACATCACTCACCTCCCATAAGAGCATGGCCACAGAAAAGCAATTAATGAACGGGTGCTTCGAAGCCTTAAAGGGGAAAGAACCAAATGAGCACTAATTGCCATGATCAGTACTCCTGCCATCCTCTGCCAGAGGTACATAGCTCTTTACAGTCTGACTGCTAGGAAGTTCATTGAAGAAACATCAGGACTTGGTAGAGAGAGAACATGTCAAACTGAAGAAAGGGGTTAACTGAAGCAGAATTAGAACAGATGGGTACAGAGCACAGAAGAAGCTAGTGGGAATAGATGGGAAGTAGTAGACAAAGTAATGGAGAAAAGGGAAATAAAAAAAATGGATTTGAAAATGAGAGTTGCCCTTTAGAAGAGAGGATGAGCAAATGTGCACAGGAAAAAGCTAAAGAGACGAACACAAAATAAAACCAAACAGCATAAATGGGGGAGGGTGGGGAGAAGAGGGAGTAGGACAAACAGAAGCTTTAAAGTAGTGAAATATTTTAGAATATATCAGAAGAAAACAAACGGTGAGAAAAAAATAGCTAAGGGTTTTTTTTAAATAAAGGTTTTAATAAAACAGTATTTCACCATTTAATGCAATTTATGAAAAGCAGGGTCATTTTTACAACATGTTGAAATAGTGGTATCACATGTTTAGACATCCCTCCCACATTGTGTAACATTAATACGTTGAGAAAAATGCCTGCCAGTATGTTTTAAAGTAGTCCTGTCTGCCTTAGAAAAATAAAACTCAGAGCTCCTCTTGAAGATATGAGAAGCTGCGCCTTTAGGAACTCAGCTTTAATTTTTGTAACTAATACAGTAGTATGGTGTACATTTGCACTGGTATTTGTAAAACATTTTTATCATACCAATTCAATACATATGAAAGTTAGGCTAAGTATACATGACAAACTTTTGTCAGCATAGCTATGCTGGTCAGAAGTCTTTAGCCTAGCATAAATGCAGTAATACTGGCAAAACTGCTCTTTTAGTTGTATAGCTTATTTTATGGGGAAGGTGACAAGGGGGCTGTGTTTGCTGGTATAAAACTGTGTCCACACGAGGACCACTTTGCTGGTATAGTATACCAGCAAAGTGCTTCTAAAGGTAGACCTGGCCTTACTATCAGGCACTTGTGAACATATACCTAGCCAGATACTTTGGGGAGCTTATCTGGGAAGACAGGTATTTAAAGTAGAAGGTGAAGATACAGAGACAGATTCTCTATTACATTCAAGATCAACTTAGCACAGCAAAGAAAGGACATGCAGGTAGCTTGTTTTGGCTCCTTGATTCTGTCTAGGTTGATCCCAGTGTCAGCCAGAACAGCACAGGGACAACTTGAACATATGCCAACTGGCAACTTTCCTAAAAAGGACAGTCTACCAGCTGAGAAGAGCTGAAGCACTGGCCATGCCCCGCTCATACATTTATTTGGCCTATGGGGGAAGTAGAGGCATAGAAGCCTGCTAC